TCTTGTAAACCGTGTTGCAACATGCAATTGGCCTAAAGTCCATGACATGTGAGGAGTGGGAGGACTTCGGAACAAGCGTAAGGGTCGTATGGTTCCATTGTTTGAGGATAGAGCCAGAACGGAAGAACTCTTGGATAGCCTCCACCACATCACCCCCAACGATGGACCAACTCTTCAAAAAGAAAGTGGAGGTATAGCCATCTGGACCCAGGGACTTACCCCCTTGATGTCACCAAGTATATTCTTAATCTCATCCGCGGTGACCGGGGCAATGAGGGCTCTACAATCATCAACTCCAACACACGGTCCCAATCGTAGGATTTGAGGATCAACATCCTCCGTTTCGACTCTGGTACCCAAGAGAGCCTCGTAGTAGTGGACAAATTCTTTGGCAACTTCCTCCATGGAGTCGGTGACGGTGCCGTCTTCACTATTAATCGAGGCAATGAAATTTCTTTTTGTTCGCTTTTTGACCAAGCCGTGATAGAACTTGATGCATTTTTCACCCTTGATTTGAAAGTTGCATTTAGCCTTTTGTTGGTAGAAGTGTCTCTCCGCTTTGGCCAATTTGAGAGCTTCGAGTCTAAGCGAAGGCATTTTGGCCTTAGTATCGGGGTCGTCGGGTTGATCATGGAGCATTTGTTGTGCATTCTTGAGGGCATTCTTCGCTTCTTTAGCCCGGGAGGAGATATGTGAGAAAGCCTCTTCATTGAGAGTCTTAAGCGAGTTCTTGAGGTTCTTTAAATTGTTTGCAAGGCAGAATTGCCTCGAGCCTCCACCGCCATGGTTCCACGTGTTTTGGACACACGGCAAAAACTTTTCATGGGCCGTCCACATATTTAAAAACCGCCACGGTGACCCGGTAGTGGTCCTCGCCTCGAATGTAGTAACTATGCACGAGGAATGGTCCGAAATACCCGGAGCTAGGAAGGTCGCGTGTGAGAATAGATCGGCGTTCTCCCATTGAGTATCTACCATTTCCCTATCAAGTTTCGACCAAACGTGGTTATTAGTCCAAGTGTGGAAGAAGCTTCTTGAGGGGATGTCCGACAATCCCAAGTCATCACAAACTTCCAGGAGGTCCATGGTGTCCCGATTAGTGACCCTCTCCCCCTTAATTCTCTCTTTCGGTTTGAGTATAGCATTTAAGTCCCCGAGGAGAAGCCAAGGTGAGAATATCCTCCCGCGGAAGACCCTAAGGTCGTTCCACAACAATTTCCGATCCCCTCTCGTATGGAGTCCATATATAAAGCTAGCTATGAACGAGTGATTTCTAACCTTGCACCGGATGTGTGCAAAAATGACTTGAGGCAAGGTGGCCTCCATCTTGATGTCAACCTTCATGTGGTTCCATAGGATGAAAATGCGACCCCAGTCAACAACGTCAAAATTCTCGCAAAAATCCCAACCCGGTAACCTTCTATCCATAAAGAGAGATAGCCGCCTAGTGTCGGTCTTCGTTTCCAAGAGTCCCAAAATGTCAATATTATTTCTCCGAATGAGGTTTACCACCTCATCTTGTTTTAGGGGCCCGTTAAAGCCCCTAATGTTCCAAGAGGCAATGATCATCGAGAGGAAGAGGGTTGGCCCCCCTTCTTTGTCGAATTCACCTTTCCCCCATCTCTCTTCCCGCTTGGTTTGTCTCTAAGCTTGGAGTATTAGCCCGTAGTTGCGGCGGCTTGGTTCGCGGCTCCACTACGGGTGAGAATCTTGTTATACTTACCTACCACTTGGAAGGAGTCATCTTCATTATCCAGATGAGGGTTCTCGTGGACCTCCAAGTCCCCGGTTTGAGAAGAGGAAGAACCGGCATTCGAGATCACCGCTTCTTTCCTTGCATTACAATCCCCGTTGCCCTCTTTCTCTTGATCTCCTTTATTTTGGTTTTCCTCAACGACCTCCACCTCTTTGTTATGTGTCGCTCTCCATGCTCTTTGTTGGTATTTGCCCCTTTCTTACTTTGTTGTATATTGTCTTTTGGTCCCACCGCAACCTTGGTAGTCACCATGGTTCCGTTTTCTCCGACCGGTTTCTTGCCCTCGGCTTTTTTCTCAAGATGGGCTTTATGCTTCCCACAATTGGAGGTAGATTGTCCAATGTATTTGCAATGGTTGCAATATTGTGGGACATACTCATATTCTACCTTTTGCTCGAACATAATTTTCCCTTTGGATTTGACGGGAATGCTATAAACTCTTTCCTTGGAGAGGTCGAGCTCCACCAAAATTCGAGTGTAGTTGCATCGGTCCCTTGTTGCCGTGAGGTTATCGGTTGTGATGGGCCTACCGACGCAAGAGGCTATCTTGCTAAGGGCATTTGAGCTCCAACAATTCCATGATAGGAGGGGGAGATTGATCCAAACGGGGACGGTTTTGATGTCATCCTCACCAAATTGGAACCAATTGGGGAGCACTTTAAGAATGAGCCCTCGGCCGTAAATAGAGTAGGGGCCCCCTTGGAGGACCTTCTTTTTATCCTCTTCATTTTTGAACTTGAAGACGATCCATCCATTCACATTGGGAATGTATTCATATTGGACCTCCCATGAGTTACATAACCTCAACAATGCTTCCTTGCCCGGGTGCCTTTGGGTAAAGTACCCGACAAGGCAAAAGCCCCAAGTGCTCGTAACGTCCAATAGGTCGTCGTCATCTAGGTCCACTCCATTATCCGGTGGGATGTAGTTTAGTTTGAGTCCATGGGAGGCCTTGCGGTTGTCGGCAAAGAGAGCCGAGAATGTCCTCTTTCGAGAGTCCAGATTCTTTTGTGTCGTTTTGTCAAACACGTTAAGGGTGGGTTTTGAAGGTTGAGTTTTGGCTTGATCTTGCTCCTTCTCTTGGCCAACCTATTTCACGGCATCTCTAGGCTCATTGATAGCCTCAACAACATCATCATCATCAGCTAAGTTCACATTAACATCCTCATTAGTTCCATCTTTAGACTTTATGCTATCCACTTCCATTCTTGTTTCCTCCATAGCTAGTTGCTCTTCATCCGTGTCCTCATGGGAGATGTCATCAAGATCATTGGAATGGCCGGAACATTCTTCCTCGGTTAACTTCCGGTACCTTAGCTTTTTCTTTGATTTTCCCATGGAGTGGGCGTCTTGAGAGCAGCAGGGCCGTAGCTAGCAGTTGGAATTTAAATGCAGAAAAAATGACTCTTGCCACTCAGTTTGATTTTAGTTGCAATGAATCATTTGATTTACATCAATAATCCACAAATCAATGGCTGAAATCAAATCCGTGAAAGTCATTGGCGGAAATCAAGTGGCTACAGTGATGACTCTTGGAAGCTTAGAATCAACTCATAGTGGAAGAAACTTAGCTTAAAGGATTCAGAAAAATGAGTATTATCACTAGAATGTGGGTTCAAGTGGTGGAATCAAGTGAAAAATCAGATTGTGAGCTCGGATTGATCAAGGCGCCGTGAAGGGTTTCACGGGAGAAAATCTCTCTCTCTAACCTTTATTATAGGTACTATATTTTTAGTATATGTATTTGTAGACACATTCACATATATGTATATGTATATGGTTATGTTGAGTATATAATCAGTATTTTTTTTATATGTATTCGTAGACACATTCACATATATGTATATGTATATGGTTATGTTGAGTATATAATCAATATTTTTTTTCTTAACATACCAGGTTAAGATTAAGGTACGGGAATGAGAGAGAGAGAGAGAGAGAAGAGATGAGAGAGAGAGTATTTTTAGGGATGATATTTTATTATTAATGTAAATCCGTTCAATATTATGGTATTTCTCAATTATGGTATTTCATTAATATGGAGCAACCTTTGAGTCACGGGATTTAGTTAGGAAACTATATATCAATGCAGTGTATAGGTATCTAGCAATTGCCTAATTATTTTACTTCAATTTCGTAGATGCACAAATAATTTTAAAATTATGTAAACATGCAATTTTTAATGTTTAATAATGGTACATATGCACATAGACCAATATGTTAAGTCATAAGGAAAAGGGGGAGGATCTGTTGGTGGTAGGATATATTTAAGCAGCACACAGAGACGACTCTCTCTTTTATCTTCTCTCTTCTCTCTTTAATTTTTTTCTTCATCTTTTCATTTTGCTTTTCTCTTAGATTATGATAGCCCTGCGCGACTAATTTCTTTTTCGCTTCTGTTGAATACGATCAAAACCCCGAACTTAATATTGTGTGATCTAATTAGTTTTTATCTATTAATTCATATTTCATATTAATTGTTTTGTGTGTTCATGTTAATGATTTTGTATTAGGATCATAGCCTGATCAACTATTGTCATGTTCACGTAATCTATTGCTTGGTTGATATTGAGTCAGATTTAGATAAATTATCTGTCGTAAGAAGCAACTAAGTGTGACAATTGACCGGATTTAGGCGTTATCATTCTTAGGAAAAATAATTAGACAAGTTAATATTTAGCGGATTAGTTAATTGTTGCTTGCGTTGTCGGTCTCTAGTTCTTAATTCGATTGTTAGGATAATTTTACACGATGTTGGAACCTCAATTAACATTTATAAGTTCAAATATCAATTTTTTTTTTTAGAAAAAAACAAGTTATATGATATTTTAATTTAATAAATGTCAATTAAGCAGAAGTCTATTATTTTAAATTTTTTATATGAAGTTAATAAATTGTGTTACTCCAATATCAACCAAAATTTCACTAACTCAAAAACCAAAATATGATTAATTACATTATCCTATATCTCATAAGAAAATCTTTACAAGATAATCATAAAAAAAATATTTATAAAATAACATATAAAAATTTTTTGTTAAAAGTATTATAATAGTAAAATAATCAAACTTCACCTTGTCCTTTTACATAAATTTTTGAATGATGTTATATAATGGAGGCAGTCAAAGTTAGCATCGTTTACGACGTCCTTAACTGTTCATCTATCATGCAACACCGCAAGAAAGCTACGGTCCTTTTTCTCACACAACCAAAACTGTTGGATTCTTGTATCAAACATTAAAAGTGGTGCGGGAAGAGGACCGTAGCTTTCTTGCAGTGTTGGATGATAGTTTCACATTTAGGTACGCCGTAAACGGTGTTAACTTCGACTGTCTCTATTATAGAACATCTTTCAGAAATTTAAGCAATAATATCAATTACACCAATGATGCCACTCCCACAATCTCCCATTGTGATTTTGCTTCTCACTCTCTTATACGCCTATAATAGAGCATCTAGAGAGCCATGACACAGACCAACATACAGATTCTTCAATACTTGAACTTTGCTATGGTAGTCTCTGTCTACTTTTTCTATATTGCTATATTGTAGGCGTATGAGAGAGTGAGAAGCAGGATCACAGTGGGAGATTGTGGACGTGACATCATTGGTGTAATTGATATTATTGCTTAAATTTCAGAAGGATATTCAATAATAGAGACAGTCGAAGTAAGCATCGTTAACAATGTCCTTAACTGTTCATCTATCATGCAACACTGCATGAAAGCTACAGTCTTCTTAAAAGGACCGTAGCTTTGTCGCAATGTTGGATGATATTTGCACATTTAAGTACGCCGTAAATAGTTCTAACTTTGACTGTCTCTATTATAAACCATTCTTCAAAAATTTAATATAACATCAATTACGCCAATGATGCCACGCCCACAATCTCCATTGTTGATCCTTGTTCCAACTCTCTTATACGCCTACAATAGAGCAATATAGAGAGTTACGACACAGACTGACATACAGAATCTTCAATTTCTGAAGTTTGCTGATGTTAGTCTCTGTATAGGTTCTCTATATTGCTCTATTGTAGGCGTATGAGAGAGTTGGGAGCAGGGTCAACAATGTAGATTGTGGGCGTGACATCATTGGCGTAATTGATGTTATTACTTTAATCTGTATTTCGTCAACTTTTCGAACTTATTGGAGCAAAAATCGATAATGAATCATGACCTTCAAAAACAAATGCCAAATATTCGAGATATCATTAAAAGAACTAAGTGGGCTTTGATTCCCAATATAAGGGATACATAGGCACCTTAATTGACATATATCATCGGATTTTTATTAAATGTCAATTAAGCTCAAGTCCATATTTGTGTACTGAAGCTTCGAAAACCTTTCATTCACCTTCAAAAACCTTACGTAAGTTAATTTATCAGTTTCTTGAGTTTTATCAACGTCATCATGCAATTCGACTCCAATACACAGTCTCGAGTAATATCGTTGTTCTTTTTTGTAGTGGCCTAAAGCACGTTACTTAATAGATGTTATTCACGTTATCATCTTTGGCATACAAGTTGTTTTTACCATCATCACACAGTTCCATAAGGGTATAAACTTTTTCACATATCACTGGAACTGCTAGATAGTGGTATCAAACTAATGTGAAGTGTTGATGACTTAACTGAAAGTTTAACATTACATTATTTTGCTTTCCTTTCATCGAAATTGAGAAAGTATTCAAAATATAACTAAGTATGTATAAGTATTCTCTTGTTTGTGCTATTGCAGGCGAAATTTAGAGTTCAAATCATAATATATAATGAAGGATATTGACATGGTATCATTGTCCGAAATGAAGTTGATGTTTTTAGTTCTTGTTGAAACATTAACGACAAAATTTATACTTTTATGTATTGATACCACTATCTAACAGTTCACATTAGTTTGATGCCACTATCTAACAGTTCCAGTGATCTGTGAAAAAAATTATACTTTTATGGAACTGTGTGATGATGGTATAAACATATTATACGTCAAAGATGATAATGTGGACAACTTCCATTAGGTAACGTACTTTAGGCCACTAGAAAAAAGAACGGAGATATTACTCGAGACTATGTATTGGAGTCTGATTGCATGATGATGTTGATGAAACTGAAGATACTGATAAATTAACTTATTCGGACTAAGTCTTCGTAAAGACGATCAAGTATTTTAACACAAACCCATTTGTATCTGTTTCCAGCATTCTAGAACACCACCAAGACTTTTTGTTTTGGAAAAGCCATAGAGGAGGAGATAAATGATAAGGTGTCATGTTCGAACTAGACGGTGTTGGATTATATTGATTTGGCGGAAAGGTATCTCCTGTTTCAGCAACCTTGGTCGGTCGAAGGCATTATCTTGAGAACCCGTACACCGACACGGGCTGCGGAAAGCAGAGATATCTCGCCGCCAAATCGATGTAATCCAACATCGTCTGGTCCCAAGATATCACTCTATCATTCACCTCCTCCTCTATGGCTTTACCAAAACAAACAATTTTAATGGGGTTTTACAATGCGGGAAATAGATATAAACGGGTTTGTGTTAATACTTGGAGTTCTTGCTCGGTTTATACTATGCGCATTTTTTTTGTCACGTCAAAAAATAAAAAAAAACCGCGAACCGCCGACCCGGGCCGGGCCGGGCCTTGGCCCGTCTAACCATATTGTTGTATAAAAAAATAAATTATATTTATCTTTATAACAATAATAAAATTATTTTTTAATATTAATTAGAAAAATAAAATTATTTATCATTTAATATATTTATATTTCAGGTAGTTATATGATATAAGTTATAGAAATCTATAGTAATATAAAGAGGTTGTTGGAAAAATACAAAAATAGTAAGGTTGACTTGAAAAATAATATTTTGACTTACTAATTTAAGTAAAAATAATGGGCCCCATGCGTAATTATATAATTTGATTAATTTGATTAATTAATGAATTCATCTCTCATTTCAAAAAATAGTTCGGATATTATAAATAGATGTCAACGAATTTTGTGCGATTTGTTATGTTCACAATTTGCATACTACTACAAGATCTTTAACATACTGATTGAAATTGTCTTCCCAAAATTATGGGATTTTGTTAACTATATACATGCCTCCACATTGAATTGAAGTAATTAATCTCTCATATCTAAATTAAATCTGATTTTTTAACTAATAACAGCGCGATCTTAGCATTTTTTAGAATACTAACATATCTTGCATGTAATTATTGAAATTGCCTTACCAAAAACTCCGGATTTTGTTAACTATATAACTAGAGTGATTCCTTCCCCAAATATTTTTCTTCTTCCAGCGTTGAAAACCATTACGCCCAAAATCAGAGATTATCATTTCAATCGTTTCTTAAAAATTATATTTATTATTTCTTGTGATTATATATATATTTGTTTAGTAATTGAAATCAGAGAAATGCAAACGTACTTTGTTGCTGATGCGTTAAAAATGGCAGAATCGGCCGTTTTTTCGTTTGCCGAAATATAGACGAGTGTTATATGCTTGCATGTGCCGCAGTTTATTTTCGTACGGGTCGTGCACTAATATGCTCCAATATCTTTTCTCTGTTTTCTTCACGATCTTGAATTGTATTTGATTTTATGAGGTTTGATTCTAAGTAAGGATTTCGTTTCTGTCGAAGGTGTGGTTTATCGTGATAAACATATGAGTCAAATTGATTCATTTAATTGAATTGATTTTTAGAAATTGATGTAATGTGGAAAATACTAATTTATGGAATTATAAATAAGTGTATTTTTAAAAAAATAAAATTAAGAAAATTAACATTCATGTTTTAATTAATATTTTCCTTCTAAATCTTCTTAAAATATATATTAGTACATTAATATACTAAAACGAATTGTTCATCTTTTTATTTTCATATTTTTATTATTTTATGTCTTTTGAATACGTTGTTTACTATTTTTATCTTTAATTTTTTTTTTTTCATACTATATAATTAGAATAAAAATCAATTAAAATAAAATTATTTTTAAAATAATAGTATATGGGTGGATTTCACCTTTCATAATATATGAAAAAAAAAAAACTTACTTGTCATATATGCCAGACGCACATGTTAACATAAAATATTATGTAAGTCACATAAACATGTTCGAAATTATTGTATAAAGTGGGAAATTTTATTTCGGTATGAAATATCCGACTTAAAATTGGTATGAATTTTATTTGATATAGATAGAAGTGTATTTGAAAATTATGAAAACAAAATAAGTGGAAGGAATTTTCTTTGGTATAGGTATGGAAGTCGAATTTTAGGTTCAACTTTTTTATAAAATCAAAATCTATTACTATATAATATAGTTAAGAAAAGCTATTCAAAAAATTTGAAATAAATAATTCATTTCCTACTTTTTTAAAGTCATTTTCCCCTTTTTGTATTTCGTTTTTTATCATTTTCGAATTTTTTTTGCCTTTTCCCGCTCATGCAATTTGCTTGAAATCCGCCCACGTAATTTGTTTAAATTAGATCCCGAATATTGTTAACTAAGATGATAAGATTTTGGTAAGAAAATCGGATATTGTTAATTGATAAGTGATATGGTAAACAATCGGATAATATTGTGCTAAAATATCGGATATTGTTAATTGTTAAAGGGATATTGTTATTTGTTAATTGTTAAATAAATTTTCAATTGATATTGTTATTTGTTAATTGTTAAACAAATTTTCAATTCGAATTATTAATAATGGAAAATTAAATGAAATAAAATTGTTTACACCCAATTACAATATATACAATCACGACATACATCCAACCATCTGTCAAAAGGTGATTTTTTTTTTTCCAATTCACATATCATTGAGATAAATTAATGCAACTAATAATATATTAAAAAAAATCCAATGGCTTCCTACAATGTTTTGTTCCATCTTCAAATCAAGTTTTGTTTATTCAACTTCAACTAAAAATTTATTTAGTTTTGCCATTCTTTTCTAATTTTCGTATTTATCTGAAAATCTTTTTCATTTTTACCAATTTGTTTTTTTATTCATGTGATCAATTTTCAATAATTCACAATAAGATAAAATTTACAAATTCGATTTATTTTATAAATCATGTCTGTACAAAGTTAATGATTAAGATCTTTATAAAAAAATATAATAAAGAATTACAAATTTGATTTGATTTACAAATCATGTTTGGAAATAGAATTATAATTAAGGCAGATATAATTATAAATCGACTGTACAACTAATAAATTTTCAATAATTTAGAATAAGATTTACAAATTTAAATCAAACAATTTTGAATACTATTAAACAATTTTGATAAGCCCAATCAAATTTGGTTATGAATGAATCAAACAATTTTGAATAATTTTTATTTAATCGATTACTATTAAATTAATTTTATTTGATTTTCACGTCTAAAATTTTCCA